ATAGATTTGTGAATGTCCTCCGTTTCTAATCTAAGGCAAAGAGACTGAATGTCCTCCTCATATTTGTGAAAGGTATCTTCGATACAAGATAAGAAAGATCGAAGACTTACCCTCTTCACAACATTGTCAGATTGCAAGTACAAATCATTGCTTTGGCTCCACTTTCTAGCACACATAAGAAATGTTTTGAGAAATTTCAAGTGTTTGATTGCATCACGAACATCGTAAAGAACAAAAAGGTATATTCCTGAGCTGTTCAGGATCAAATCTAGATCATGTAAGAGCCAATCGATGCTGCAAGTGGAGGCCACCTCCATCTCTTATGCAGGGATTTTCGTCAGTTTCACTCTCAAATTTTAAGAGAGAAACAAATCTCACTAACTGCAGAGCTAGCAAAGTTTTTCTTTCCTGAAAACGGCTTATTTGTTTCTGGTGAGAAGCTGAAGAAGTGTATTGAGACAAAACCAGTCAACTAGGTGGAATTGGCATCAAGGTGGACCCCAGGCAATGATAATCAATTATTCAACTAGGCACCCAAAATCCAAATTTATCTTGAACTAATTACAAATGGAGGAAATTGATAAACAAGATTAGTTGACTCTGTCATTAGGGATCACATAAAAGCCTATGTTTTAAGACAATAACAGCAGTGGGTCCAGACGGAGCAGCCCCTTCTCTATATTATTGCCTCAATAAAGTAGTGGGTCCGATTTCATAGAATTATTGGGAATGATTGTATTCCCTTTTCTTATCGCGCGTCCCTGTTTTAATTTTTTTTTTTTTTTTTTGCTTCAAGCATCCACAGTTTAATATGTTGAACTTTATAATTAGGAAGAACAGAAAACAAAGAAACATCAAAATATAAATGATCCAAGAGACGTCACAATATAAATGATCAAAATATAATGAACCTTCAAGCTACTAGCTCTCTAATTTTCTTCAATAGTTTTCTTTCTTCAGCAAACCACTAAATTTGATCACTTTCTCTTCTAATTATCTCGTATTAATAATCATGACCATTGATCTTGGAGATTAATAACCATGACCAACAAAGTAAAAGGTATGACAAAAAATAATTGGGCTTGTGGAAGCAGAGAATTTGGGATTTCTACAATTACTAGTGTCAATTATATCAAAAATATATGCATTACAATAACAAATGTAAACTCTAAGATAATAAATATAAACAGTAAAACGATAACTTGCAAAATTAATGTTACCAATATACAATGGTCAAAGAAATTGATTGGATTAAAGAAGTGAAAATTGCTACTAATTAGTAGTTGTACTTCTTTTCAGAGTCAGGACTTAAATGCGATTAATAATATAATACTTTTTAAAAAAATTATTCCAAATAATCTCATATTCAAACACAAGTTATATGCCCATTTCAGTGTTACTTGGGCCATTGGAAATTAATTCTAGTCTTCTCATTACTCATTAGTCTTCTTCCACATCCTGGGGGACCATTTGGAAAATGGGAGAGATGGGAGACAGGCTGTGCTGGTTAATACAAGCGTATACTAGTTACTGGGCTATTATTAATCAAGTCGACTCTAAACATTTGTTATATTTCTTTCTTCCACATTCAGGGGGTCCATGTGGAGAATTTGACAGATTGCCCGGATAGTGATCTGGTCAAGCATGGCTAGCGGACGATCCCTTTTCTTTTCTTTAATTCAAGTTTCGGCCTTCAATTTAGGGGCAATGTTTTAGATGGGAGAAGATATCATTCATAATGTGTAACCGATATCTAGCTTTGTGATTCTTACTTGCTCCATTTTTTATATGTGAGCAACTCTACTCAGGTTTTTGAAGACTCAAATAATACGTTGGGAGAGGATTTGAATTCAAAATTTCGTATTTATACTTTTTTCTCTGAACCAGCCAATCCATCTATTTCCTCTTGGCTAATTGATATATGTCCCATGAATATTTTCATATTCTCTTTTGATTAAATTTAAGGAATAATTTCAAAAACCTTCCTGAAGTTTCTAACAATTTCAATGAAATCTCTTGATATTTTAAAAATTACACTTACCTTCCTTACCCATTTAAAATGATAATAGTAGTCTTACCATTTTAATAAAACTCCCTTGTTGGGTATGCATATAGAAAGAATGATATTTATAATTATTTTTTCTTTTTTTTTCTCTTCTTATTCCTCTTTTTTTTTCATATTACAAGTAAAACTACAGAACTATAAACTATAAATATTGCTTCTAGTCGTTATCATTACCAAATGTTAAATTAGTGACCTTTTTTATGACAACTTTGAATCTGGTCTAATTTTTTGTTGATCTTTTTTTCTTTGCACCAAAAACAACATTGATTTAAAAAGAAACTATCTAAAACTACTACTAAATTATTGACACCTCTAACATTTAAAAAATGTACAAACTCTAAAATAATTATGATAATACTTTCTTTTCCAACCTTCAGGGAACATGTATCCCTAGTAAAGCACTATGTACAATAGCCTGTCATAGTGAAAACTATTGTAATAATTATTTATTAAATAATAAATATAGGTATTGAAAATTTGATGCTTTTTTTTTAATATTTGATGCTATATATTTTACAATTGTTTTGGAAAGCAATATAAACTATATAAACCAAGGACATTTTAGGATGTTCATTTAAATTTTTGCCAGTTCTAAGGTTTGATTACCAAATGTATCAAATCAAGGGCGGTAAGTACAATTTTTAATAATTCAAGGTAGCTCAGTGAAATTGTTTAAAACCTTAGAGGACGTTTATGAAATTATCCCTACTTATAATCAACTTTGAAGTGCTACAATCAACATGGTGGGCAACGAGAATAAACTCCTAACTATGAAAGTACATGACTTGGAATATAATGCCTATTACACGCATAACAGTCACTACATGCATAATTGAAGCAAAAAAAGCTGAAAGAGGGTCTAATTTGTCCAATCATTCAAAGCTTTGCAACAGTTTCATTTTATCCAATTATTCAAAAACTTTTGCAGTGGTCCCTTGAATCCAATTTTCAACATGTTTGCAATGGTAAAATAATGGTAGCATTGTTTCAATTTCATCATTTTTTTTTCACTTTCAATTCTCAAAATTTTGTCTATAAATATTGTTAACGTTTCCTCAATTTTTACTCTCCCACTCCATCATTTCTTCTACTGTATCATTTGTTTTCTTTAACCTCTTATCTAATTTTTTAAAGTGTTGGGTATTTGTTTAATAATTATCTAATTATTTTTAGAAAATAACAATGTATTATTTTTGAAATACATAGAAATATATACTATTAGTTTTCAAAAATTAATAATATTATTTTTTTAGAAAAAAAATTTTTAGAATGCAAAAATTTCAACAAAAGTTAATAAATTTGTTTTCCAAAAATAAATGAAATTACTTTTCAAAAATAGATTTATTTATTTATGAAATATGTGTTGAGAACTATTAAGATAAATACTTGATTTGATTATAGGTCCATGATATTCTACTATGTAGAGTGTAATTTACAGTGAGTGATAATATAACGAAAGAGGGGATAATAAAGTAATGATATAGCATATGAATTGCACTCTTTAACTCTAAAGAGTGCAATCCACTGTAAATGCCTTAGGACACCTTCAAGACTCTTTCTTGTTTTCATATATTTTTTTCGGTTAAGCATCTAGATTTATCTTACGCTACTCCTACACTGTGGGAAGGAGAGCGCCCAAGTGAGTTGTGTGAAGGCACAAGAATATACACGTACCATCATTATTACAAGTACATGAATTTAGAAGTTATATGAAAGAACTAGTAAATTCCAAGAGATTCATGAATCTACTAATGAATCTAAAAGGGAATGAATGTATTAATGAAGCTTAGGAAAAATGGATGAAAAACACTTAAATTTAAGGCACAATTTTCAACACAAACATGTTATAATCAATATGTTTTTCACATTATACTTCTATCTAATTTGAATGTCTAACTTCTCTAGCTATTTCTTCCATAAGAATATTAATTCTATTTAAACGAAGACTTTAAACTAGAAATATTCGTTTGTACATTTTATACACCAAAAAATGATAGTCATATGTTGTACCGAACAGATAGTGATGGGCTCCACACTTGGCGCGGAAATCGAGTTACATGGTGTAATCTTAGCCGCACAAAATTTTGAGGGCAAATCTTGGCCCTTAAATCCATGAAATAGGCATGCCAGGAAGTAGGGATTGAAATCTATAGAGTAACATCCTTTCTTGGGAATCATGTTCATTTGATTTCACACCCACTTTGAGTACAAGGCGTACAGGAGATATTATCGAGACGTTTGATGAGTGTTACGGCGAGTTACTAAACAGTTACAGAAAATTGCAGCTTTTATCATGAAAGGAACTTAACAAAAACTCAGCAGGTCATGTGCGCTGGTTGAGGGTTCCGACCTTGCGTATACCGTTTATATGTGTATAAAGTTTTTTCATGCAGTATTTGTTAAAAACAAGAATTTTTTCATGCTTTATGCCTTACCTGTATATTATTTCATCACACACTTTATCATCTTGACCCCATATTTAATATTTGATGCACAAGTACTTGACGTGGCTTTACACCTTGTTCAAAGAAGTCATCCTTTTGAGCAAGTGTGGTAGTTACTGACAATAAATGGATACAGATAATAAAACCTCCAAACTTTAATGCCTGTGGTCGGTATTACAAGTTCTTGGCCAAGAGTCAGATGTGTAACACTCTATGGCCTTGGTCAGTGTATGAACCAAAATTTTGTACTAAAGTTACACGTGGTGCAAACAAAGTTACGCCGTGTGCAACCAAAGTTACGCGCTGTTGAAAATGGCCAAAACTAGTATCTCTAATATTTGATGCAATTTATTACCAGTCTGACTAATATAAAGTGCGATCAGGTGAAAGTTATAAACTTGCGCAGGATTCAAGATGTCTTATACAACAACAGTATGTGTAACTTTTTACGTGCTCTATGTAACACACTTTCAACTACGAAAGCATATATATACCAATCCATGTCAATTAATAATCCTTGCATACAAAGCGTGAAGGCGATAAGAATGAGCAATGGCACTATCAGTGTCATAACGTGTTTCTAATAAGTCATGAATTTTGCCACTACTCTTCATTGTCCATAATCTTCGTAGTGCCGGTATTACAAGTAGTTAGCAAAAAGTCACAGACAGATTTAAAACAATTAATGTTCGGCTAATGTTATTACTGACAATATTCTAGTGACAACTCAAAACCTAACTTAAATTACAAGTAGGTGCAAATATTGGCGCTAATGTGTCCAGAAAAACAAAATCAGTAACTGTTTCAAAAAATATCCTTTGCTATTATGCATAGCAGAAACAACAAATTACATCCCTGTTGAAGATGCTCTTGCAACCATTTACTATTTACTCCCAAGCATGGCGGAAATAGTGTCTACAAACTTTGTATTATGCTCCGAACTACAAAGCCGCGCGGTGTACAGCATTCGATACTTCGTAATATTTTCCTGCCACAATTTCACCTCTGATAATCAGCACCACGATTAAGTCCAATTTATTAACCATTTTATTGCCACAAGTACGTACAAAGATAGTTACAAAATGTGACCACACCTTTGTAATTCGCATAGCCAATCTTCCACTCCAGTGTTCAAGAAAGGTCATCGTGAAAACTCCACTATCGAACCTGGTCAGATCAACATGAATCTTCTCAGGAATAAGGATAATATAGTAAAGTGATGGTAGTACACCATTGCAGTGATAAGCTATCGGGAAAAAGAACATGGAAGATCCGATATTATACCAGCTATCGGGTGACTGATGAGGGACATCAGCAACTTCGAGTTTGAAACTTGCAAAGTCTATTTTCATCCCAAATTTAGCTGCCATTATCAGTCCGAGGCCACGTTGCTGCACGAAACACGGTCAAGTAACTCAACATATGATAAAAATCAATGAACAATTCCCATAAACAATCATACCAAGCGCTTTAGAACTGTAATATCTTTGCTTTTTGCTTGTTGTGGGTCAGGGTCTAGCAGATGGACTACGTGATGCGTGACATGGAAGGAGTACACGAACCAGTAACTATCTACGCAGACAGGGACAAGAATCTGATGCAGAGCAAAAACCATTTCAATGGTAAACTACCATAATTTTCATGTTTACTAATAATTTGCCAATAAATACAAATTCAGCAATAGTTACGATAAGACATAATTGTCCATACCAACTGACACTTGGAAGGATTAGCCGAATTATCCGGGCCGCGGATCTTGAACAACTTTATAAGCTTAGCAGTTAGGATGTCATCCGACTGTGCATCGAATTTTCGAAGATTCAGGATGCCATCCTGTTAATAATCAGTACAAGGGAATATAAGTGTTAACGGTGATTTTCAGAATTAGTATAAGATTATAACATGCATTTGTACGAAATTTTCATAATAGTTTAATGAATAACTTGCCATTAGCCAACAACAAATTTAATGCTTACAACTGCTATAGGCTCGACAATATAGCGTTTGACTCTACTGGTTGTGCTAGTCGCCCCGCCCCAGTTGATATGCCGGGCAAACATGTCGATGACCTGTTTATTCACAACACAGTGACAGAATTGATTTAGTTACTGCCATTTCAAAAACCTACCACTTTACCTTACCAAACCAACACAATGTATTATTTGTCGTATGTGTCAAATATGCCTAACCCGAGTCGAGACATGCATGCCATCACAAAGAGTCCTGAGGTCATCTCGTGTGAGAGAAAGTTGAAACATTTGAATGAGAGTCTCCCTGCCATTACGCGAGACAAAAGGAGGCGCTATTTAAATTTGCCAGTTCTTATCAACCATGAGTTACAAAAATGTAAATGCTTTATCAAGTTGTTACACTCAGTTTCAGCCAACAAATAGTAGCACTAATAAACCATGCATCCCCTAGGATGGAGAAATTTTACTACCTTCTGCTACTTCTTCATTATAATCAAGTAGTAAAAGATACGTAATTTGGGAGAAATTTTACAACCGTCTTCTAAGAAGAAGTGATGCCACTGCAAACCAACTTTAATTCTAACTGGGAGAGCATAAAAATTCAAAGGCAACATGCAAGAAATGACTGACTATTTATAAAAGGGATAATTTCAGATACCCCTATTCAGCTTTTGACAGTCTCACTCTCCTCCTTTACGAATTCAAAAGATTTCAGAAAAAGTCTTACACACCCTCCTTATCATAACTTCAGGTCCTATTTCTTACATCCTCGTGGCTAAAACGACTCAAACCCACTCACGACTTTGCTATTTTTTCGTGATTATGGGTTCAAGAATCCGTCTAACATTCTCAAAAGTAACATTTGAGTATTCTATATCTAATCTCCATTCCACATGTACAAATAATCAAGTAACTAACACCTAACAGGAAGTACATTTTGCTAGTCTTAACTTGGTGACTAACAAATAATTAAATCGAAGAAGAGGGACATTGAGTTAACCTCAAAACATGCATGAATTCATTAGGAATGGACTGGAGAGATGCACTTAACAAATAGTGGCAACTATAAATTCTTAAGTGGCTGTAGCATAACCTTATAATCGTATTATAAACACATTGGAACCTTACTTGGGATTCTGATCTACCTCCCACGCGAATGCAGCGATCCTTTTATCGTACGTGCTGACTGTTACGTGTGAAGGCAGAAGGTACTCGGCTGACCGTAGCATGCTGCTTTTCTTCGTTGCCCGAGTTGGTCTCCCCTCATTCTCATCTTCAACAGCTGCTGAAGATATCAATACATCAGAAAACATAATTCAATAATTAGTTCACACTGACAGAATAATGCTTAGGTATGCGTGTTATACAAAAAATTAATAAGTCAGCAGCAGGGCAGTAAAGTTTAACCGATTAACCGATCAGCCAAGTACTCATCAATTGATATGCAAAACTAAAATGCATTAAGCAATAATTCAGCTTCAACGGTATCAGGGTTTACAGTCGACAGAACATAATACAATAAATTCATGGAAATTCGTATATCAAATTCTTGACAGCCACCAAGTTTACTAACCTTTCCTTTTGCGACTATAAGACCGCAACCTTCTCGGTGTGTTTGGCCCATCCAAAGGATGCTCAATTTGTATGGGACCTGTTGAGCAATCATGCTGCATATGTTGTGTGGCTTCATCCGTAATGCGGTCAGAAATGCTTGTTATATGGTCAGTATGTACTTCAACGTCTCGCGAATCAGGTTGGCCAATTGGTGGGGTATCATTTGCCTTGTTTCCACTGAATGAAATATCCTTTCCATCACCTGTGATGCCATCATTTTTTGCCTCCTTTCCATCACTAGTTCTCCCACTTTGCTCTTTTTCAACCGTCTTCTGCCCTATTGCTTGCCGATTTGTTGGTTCAGTCTCATCTATTGATCTGATTGACGTCACAATGTCATCGGCAGTACCACCGGCATCTTGTTCTTTTTCACTATCACCGTCATCGAGATCTTTGGAGTCCTTTCCATCCTCAGCCGATTGATATTCTGAATAATCTTCGCTTTCCATATCAAGATGTATGTGCTCTGAATCAGGCAGCCTCTGTTTCTGCTTTTCCTTTGAAACGACCTCTGTTGCTGCTGCTTTGGCCCTAGGATGAGAACACAATATTTCTGCAATCTTTAATATCCTTCTTTGACAATTCACTGTCATACTGTACACTTCTGAAAGCTCAGCCTGCTTATACATTAACAAACTATAATGAATAGCTCGTTTCGACTTAATCCAGAACAGATGAATAGGAAATTATGCATTGATGTGTATTACTTCCTTGTGGATCTCACTAAATCTGCCTTTTCACTTTCAATTGGTGAAATATTTTTCATGACTAAGTTATGAATATCCAGTTATATGTGAAAATGCCTTCAGCTGTATTTGCCACTCGAATCGAATGAGGTTATGATAGTTACTTTTATATTTTGCATGAATAATATGCGAGAATTTTTTTCACTGCTCTTTTCTGTCATAGAATATGGAAAATACGACACGATCTGTTCTATGCAAGAAATGTACCTAGCTTAGATCACAACAATAGTGTTATTTGTGACCGGTATTTGAAAAATGTTGCCACCTTTTACAAAGCTTAACAAACGATTGGGTGTACTTATTTGTCCCAAACTCCACTTACAACAAACTTTCCTATTTTTGTATGTTATGCATAGCAAACGCAAAATGATTGTATGCGGTCATGGAAGATTTATCATGATTGTATCGGACAAGATAACTTTCCCCAGTTATGAAGATTTGGCTGCTTACAAAAACATCAGTATAAATGCATAACATTTGCTCTTAAGCAACAACATTACACAATGAACTTTCTTCTAAGAAAAGTTAGGCAGCTTACAGCAATGTCATGATGACCGCTGTCCATCATTATTCCAACTAGCTCAGGGGGTAGTTCATTTATCTGTGCACCTGATTCAGCCTCTTCCTCTTCATGCGCCCCAATCTACGAAAATAAAGTCAAACCATCATTTCATAAGTACATGGTATGTGTGTCTTATACATATGAACTAGTAAGTTACAATCCTTATCCAAGCAAAAAAATAATTATCTCTCTTACTAGTTTTCCTTTTCCATAACCTCCGAGATTATCGATCTCCAATGCATCCCGCTGTGAAATTAAAGCATCTGTCCATGCCTTTGCTCTTGGTGTAACTCGAGCCACTCTATGCTTTAGTATTGTCACTCGATCGAGGTAATGCACCTGCAAGCCAATTGGCGACTGACTCATCATTTATATCATTTGCAAACAATATATATATCACGAATTTCAAAATTTTATTTATATCTAATGTTCAACAATCCTCTTTCCCGTCCTTCATACTCACTTATCATATCATAATATGTACGTTGCATAAACAACCTTCATGTGCCTAATTAAAATTTCAAAATCGTTGCATCCCCTACTAGTTAAATGACTTACTAACTTTCAATAACGTGTAATTAAACTTACCAGTAGAACAAAGATGCAGCCCCCAACATATTGGTGCTGCTTTCCGCTTTTCTTCTGTACTTCTAATATCCTATTGCATAGTACATTTCTAATGTACTGGGCCCAGTTTAATGAGGCCACCTCAGTAACCACCTTCGTGCAACCCCATAGCCGGATTTTATGCTCAGCCCGTGTAGTTGGAGCCAATAGACATCCACAAGCAAATGCAACAAATAGTCGCTTGAACTCGTCCCCACTGCTCATGGATACTAACTCCTCCGGCAGCTCTTTCCATTTGTATGTTCGGCGACTTGGTCCAGAATCTCCACCCTCACTGCTATCAGCATCTTCAACTGGTAAGGGGCCATCATTTGGGATTCCAAGGATGAAACCGATGTCTTTTGCTGTTAGGGGTAGCACACCATCTCCATGTAATTGAAAGCTGCTTAGTGTAGGATTAAAATTGTCGACCAGCCAGGTTCCTATGCCGTTCGGAATGGAGCGACACTGTATTTCCAGCAGCCCTCCAAACCCCATATCTCTGATTTGCTGTTTTTTTGTTTCATCAATGTTCGATGCTAACCAAACCATCTGATTTGGTGAACAACGAATGGTGTACTTCGGATTCTATAATCAAATTCAAGCGAAAAACTTAGTTAGTCATACACAGATTATTACATACAAACCTAAACTTCATCCATACTTTGTGCTTACCTTATACTGCTTTATTGGCGGTATAGTCTTTCCAAGTCGCGTCATTTCTCTCTTATACTCCTCTTTTTCTTTCCAATAGTTCTCTTTTCGCTTCTGTACTTCTTCCTCGCTTAATTTATCATATGCTGCTTTGACCATTTTATTATACTGCATTCGATGCATATAATCGTTAATCATTCCTAATGTCATCATCATTTTCTAATGGGTTAATAGTATAATTCCTCCCCTGACTTTTGTTCTAATCACATCTGACACCTCTCAAATTAATATTATCACAACGGGCAAGACCCCTGGCAGTGGGATGTGACAAATTATCCTAATCAAAAGATAACAAATTATTCAAAAATCACCAACATCTACCCCATGCCACAAATAACCTTAACTCATTCAGAGGCAAAAAAAAATCTGGATAAATAATGTTATACCACAACTAAAGTTGAATGCCCATAATTTAAAAATAATCTATGCAGTATACGGAGACCAATACTCCACTACAAAACTAAGAACAAAACTGTATACCAAAACAGATAAAAAAAATCAGAAAATTCTTTTAAGAATTTTTTGATAACTATTCTGAATTATGTTATATTTTTTTACAAATTGTAACTCTAATTGAACTATCCGTAAAACCTATTATAAGAGATACGATTATTACGTATTGTACCCATATGTACACTAATGTGTTACACAAAATTACAAAATTTTCAAAACATGTTACCCTATTCAAGGATGATTGATCTAACAACCTTATTTACCTCGCATCTCTCCAAACGATACATATCGTCGTACTCCATGGTCTACAAAATAACAAATTCGGTTACAGTTTCATACAAATCCTATTACAACCCTGATGCTATCCTATTATTTATTATATGATCATTTACGTATACTAAAAATCAAGATTTATACCTGTTTTGCTCCTACGAAGTATACTCATTTTGGGTTATGGATAAAAGAGGAACAAAAATAGAGTCTTTCTCCTATACTTCATTTTTTACTACTATTTTCAAATAGAGGGGCTGACAATGACATCAAAGTTGTCATTCTAGTGGTGTTAAGTGTGATTTTGATAACATGGAGGGTGCTAGGTGCGATTCTAAGAAACCAAGAGGGAGGTTTCTGATATTAACCCTTTTCTGATTGTGTTGATTACTTTTACCGCGCCCCAACTTTCCAAATTAATGTTTTATTTAGTTCTTATGCGTACCTCTGTTATCTTAATGCCTTTCGCTGGAACGGTGCTTTGATACTCCTTCCTACACACATTCAATATTAACCAATTAACTGTGCATTCTACTCATCATTATTATTTGAGCAAATTGCGCGAAATGTCATTAAACTATTTCAAAGTGCCGGTTCTGGTCACTAAATCTTTTTATTAGCGCGAAATGTCACTGAACTAATAAATCTGTACCGTTTTGATCACTCCGTGTATTTGTGCCGTCAGGAGAGACGGAAATCAACTTTTTGAGGGGCAAATTCGTCTGCACAGCCTTAGTGGGAAGAGTTTCATCTGGTAAGTGAAAGGTTTAAGTGTGGGGCTTTGGAATGTTGGTAAAATTTTGAGAAAGGGTGGTTATATCCAGCAATTTCACAGGTTGATTTCCGTGAAAATAAGTTCACGTATCAAACCAACTATTTTCATGTTTAGATTGATAGTTCAAGAAATTAACATATTTTTAGTTTCCAGACTATTTTGCTAACACTTCTGCTCTCTTATATTTCCGTGAGAAATATAAATTATGCTTTGTAAACGGCACACTTTTTTTTTTAACATTAGGGAATTTTGTGTATGCTGAAGCGAAGGAAGGTATTTGCACTGGGGCATTTACAGAATTCCTAAAATATTCGGTCCTCAATAGCAAGGGGTTTTTGAAGCTTGAAGGGACTGAAGCGAGGGGTTTTATGAAGCGGCAAACTTTTTGCCGAATGGGAAGGGGTTTCGGCTGCCTCAGAGAACCTCGACTCGGGTAACTAAATCGCCGTTCCTCATCCCCTTCGCCGCCGTTAGAGCCAGAAAATTGGACCTTTTGTAACTGCAAAAGGATGATGCGAATAGCTGAGGCTAGAAAAATGAGATCTTTGGGCTCATCATACGCTTGTCTGGAGTCTTTGAGTTATCAATTTCTGCAAAGATGCTTAGTCAGCGGAACTGCAAAAGGGAAATCTAAAATCAAAGGAGCACAGCCATTGAAGAGATCGAAGGTAACAACCAAGAAAGGAACTGGGTCGGGTGATTCGAATCAGAAAGATGGTGGGCCCAGAAGAAAATCCGAATTTGATGAATTGGTCGACGAGTGCTTGGCTTCGACTTCCCCAATTAGATTCTTGAAGCCTAAGGAAAAAGCTAGGGAAGCCGAGAGAGAAAAGATGGGGCTGAAAAGTAAGGTAATGGAAGAACATGAGAAGAAATGGAAGAAAATGAAGAATGAATTTGATTCCCCATTTTTTATGGGTACCCCAGGATTGGATTTGATAAAAAATTTTGAGAAAGGGTGGTTTACCAACATTTTACCCCTCAACATTTTGAGAAAAGACTGTGCAGACGAATTTGCCCCTCAAAAAGTTGATTTCCGTCTCTCCTGACGGCATAAATACACAGAGTGATCAAAACGGTACAGATTTACTAGTTCAGTGACATTTCGCGCTAATAAAAAAGTTTAGTGACCAGAACCGGCACTTTGAAATAGTTTAGTGACATTTCGCGCAATTCACTCTTATTATTTTTAATAAACACCAACATTACCTAAACTTCATCCACGGATTCAGCGGTGGAACTGGTTGTCTAACTTCACTTGTCCCCGCTGCCTCTATTCCTTCATTTTCGTCTAAACTCTTGTTCCATCTTTTGCTTCTTATCCGTGCCATCCTGTTTATACATAGCAATGAATATAATAAACATACACCAACGAAGTCTCAAATACGACATACCAATTACGCACTAACTTTTCTACTCTATTTTTTCTCTGTACTTATTCATCCACACCATGTAACACTTATCCAACACAACCGTGAACATGCACAAGAACTAATACAATTAACATACATTAATGCAGTTTCAAATGGAAGCAAATTTGAATTTCAATCTAACATTTCTCTTCACTTTCTGGCCTGTGCCTGTTAATCCACACCATGTAACACTTTTCCAACACTTTGTTGATGCAAAAGAACCAATACAATTAACATAGATCAATGCAGTTTCAAATGGAAGCAAATTTCAATTTCAATCTAACATTTCTCCTCTTTCTGGCCTGTGCCTGTTAATCCATACCATGTAACAGTTATCCAACACCATGTAACACTTTTCCAACACTTTGTTCATACACAAGAACTAATATAATAAACATACATCAATGTAGTCCCACATACGACATTCCAATTTCAATCTAACCTTTTCTCTTTTCTTTCTGTTCTATTCCTGTTAATCCACACCATGTAACAGTTATCCAACAACATGTAAGACTTATCCAACATTGTGTTCATACACGTGAACTAATAGAATAGACATACACTAATGAATATCCAGAAAAGACATACCAATTTGACACTAAAATTTCTACTCTGTTTCTTCTCTGTGCCTATTAATCTACAACAAGTAACACTTATGGAACACTGTGTTCATGCACATAAACTAATACAATAAACATATACCAATGATGACCCAAATATGACATATAAAATTCAAACGATCAATTCTATTCTATTTGTGTCCTATTCCTGTTAATCCACAACATGTAACAGTTATCTAACATTGTGTTTATGCATAGCAACGAATACAATAAACATACACCAACGAAGTCTCAAATATGACATACCAATTATACACTAACATTTCTACTCTGTTTCTTCTCTGTACTTGTTAATCCACACCGTGTAACACTTATCCAACATTTTGTTCATGCACAACACCTATTACAATAAACATACATCAATGCAGTCCCAAATACCATATTCCATTTTCAATCTAACATTTATGTTCTCTTTCTGTCCTGTACCTGTTAATCCAAACCATGTAACAGTTAAAGGACAACATGTATGACTTATCTAACATTGTATTCATGCACTTGAACTAATATAATAGACATACAGTAATGACGATCAAAATACGACATACCAATTTTACACTAATATTTGTGCTCTATTTCTTCTCTGTGCCTGTTAGTCCGCAAAAAGTAAGACTTAGCCAACATTGTGTTCATACACACCAACTGCTACACTAGACATACAGATCTGAAATATCAAATACAACATACCCATCCCAAACTAACGTTTCTTATGTTAATACTTTACACTTAACACACCATATCAATGTTTCTCCATGTCACTTTTTTCTCACATACCATAACATTATTTTTAGCCAGCATGCTGTATGATCCATCCTTCACTGAATTATCTTGTGACTATTTGATAACGCAGTGTATCACACACTCAACATATTGTACATCTACTCAGCATATAGTAATTTGAACGTACACCAATTTTTTACACCTACGAACTCCCTCCCAAATCCATGCACACATTTTCTCAAGCGGTTGTGCCGCAACATTTTCCCCTCCTTTCCCACTATCCTGTTTCGACGATCAAAGGCTAACACGTAATGCTCCTATCACGCTGCACTTATCAATTACTATACACAAAATTTTGCATGTGTGCCATCCCTCTGTACAATCATCATAGTGTACACCAACAACATCCAGAAAGTAAGGTTTTTCCACTTTTTGGTCAAATTACATGCATTACTATATCATTCTAGGCTTCCTCATGTTTTACCTGACTGATTTGTGGTCGTTCACTACTTTCGAATCCCACGATCTTCCACTTTCAAACTTGGGTTCAACTTTCTTCTTCTTTTATTAAACCCCAATCACCAAAAACTTTTACTTCCGCCACCACTTCTTCCTTCTCTTTGCTCTTATTTTCCTTCAACGATGCCGCTGTTCCACAACTTTTGCCAATGTCGCACTTTGTTGCCCGTCTTCTAGTTTCCTCTTTTAGTTCCTCCACTCCAATCTTGCCCTATTTTTTTACATTTGTTAATTTCAGCAACCGCTTCATTTGGGAGGGAGTGTAAGTGGGGCTCTTCTTGGGGAACGTTTCATTTTAGGCGGGACTTTGCTTGCCATTGGTGCTGACGGTCCGTTACGGTCAACACCGTCATCTATTTTTTTTCCCTTCATTTATATTGAAACGACGTCGTTTTGGAAGTCTGCTAAAGGCTGCTGACGTGGTTCATTTCTTGCCATTCCTTTCTGCTTGTGAGGAGACCGCTTGGGAACGGTCAATCTGATGACCGTTCCCGCCCCGTATCCCAAAAATACACGCCTATGATCTATCTGACCAAACTGGGTGGTTTGATTGACAAGTCAGTACGGGTCAAAAGTCAACCGTCCTTCATTATTAGTACTAATTCCTTTTCGATTCCCTTCCCATTTCACTATTTCGGTCATACCTTGTCAGGCTTTAGCCGTCAGTTCATACCCGGGAAAACTACGTCGTTTTGGCATTGAAAACGGCGTCGTAGTGCCTGCCGGAACTTCAGCAAGAATGTTCGAGGTCAGCGGAGACTACGAGTGGAAGCCTATTGAAATAAGAGCCATTGAAGCCTTAGGTTGCGGGTTCGATTTCGCCAGTGATTCCAGACTCAAGTATGTGAAAAGGTGTCCTGATAGTAGATTGGTTGTTCTGGATGAGGAGAATAAACGGGATATGGTAATTCCGGTCAGTGGCGGCGGCGGCAGCGGAAGTAACGGCGCCGGCGTGGTGGTTCCGAATGTGTCCGAGAGTATAAGATGTGATAAAGGAGAGCATACTCGATTTAAGTCCGACGTCCTCGAATTTAATCAGGTGAAATATTAAATTCAGATATTAGTTTTGTAACTATAGGATTAACAAATTTTAATTTTTTTTTCTTGTGCATCCAAACCTGCTAATATAAGAAAATGTTACTGGCAGTATAAGTAATTTTGCAATTTAGTTAATGATACGGAAACTGTATTGAAGTTTTATTTTATTTTTCACCTGTATCAAAACCTACTAATGTAAGGAAATATTACTAACTATATAAGAAATTTTGTAATTCAGTTAAAGATACATAAGAATTTTTGTATTCAGACCTGCTAGTAAAAGAAAATGGCACTGACGTTACAAGAAATTTTGTAATTCCGTTATTAATTACAAATTCAGTAACCATAAGAAAATGTTACTCATGATATAAGAAATTTTGTAATTATATTGACAGTATAATATGAAATTCGGTTGTTAATTTTGTAATACTTGTGTTAATTGATCGGATTAATGTTTTCTAGAGTGTAAAATAATGATACATAAACTCTATTCAAATTTTATTTTATTTTATTTTTTCTTTTGCATATGTAGCGTGTACTAGACCTGTTGGTATAAGACAATGTTCCTGACAGAATAAGAATATTAATCCTAACAAATTATGCCGATGAAATATTAATCCTAAAAAATTATGTGAGTTTGGGAATCACTAGCTTAGCATGGTGTAATTGCTATTATTGTTGCAGATGTCGGAGTTGCTGAATCAGAAGTCATCCGTACAGGGGAAAGTTCCATCAGGATATTTGAATGCATTATTTGATTTAAGTGGAGCATGGATGAATGATGCTGCAGATGTTAAACATCTTGCTTTTGATGGTTATTTCATCTCATTGTACTATCTTCACCTCACAGCATCTCCATTGGTGCTCCAGGAGAAAGTAAAAAAAGCTGTGCCATCTCATTGGGATCCTGCCAAACTCTCTAGGTATATTTTTAACTCATTATGTTGCCTTTCTGTGTTATAAGATTAAAAAGCATATAATCAAGAAAGCCCATATCCCAAATCTTGTTCGATGAACTAGTATGATATTACGCATTCTCCTCTGGAAGTCTCTGTACATGTTCATTAATGCAAGATTAAAGCAGGTTGACAAAAGAGGCTATGCGCTTTGGTCATCCTATTGTTTTGTTGGTTTCAGATGCTTTATTTGATGGGTAAAATTTATTCCTTCAGTGTTTGATGTCTTTTTTGATATATAGAAACTGTGTTCGTTCAGCTGGCTTGCGGAAATTTAGGTTGTTAGTGAGATGTGGAGTCTTCCCTTTCTTGTTTGTTTTTGGGCTTTGGTTTTTTCTGTCTCTCCCTGTCTCTCTCTCTCTCTCCTTTTTTTTTTTAACTTCTTCTCTGTTTATGGAATACTTCTTGCTGTTCATATCAAAATATGGACTTGTTTCTACATTGTGATGTAATGTTAATATTACTTGGAGATTCTAATGATGTTTCCTTAGGCAGGTTCATTCAAACTTATGGAACGCATATAGTGGTAGGGATGGCTGTTGGAGGCCAGGATGTAATTTGTGTAAAGCAGAAACCATCCTCAACCATTCCTCCTTCTGAACTTAAAGGGTGTTTGGAGGATCTCGGAGATATACTGTTTTCTGATGGAATGAATCCTCTACAGGAGCGGAAGACAAAGGATGGGAAAAAGAAGGTAAGTTTGTAAATCCATCCCTTGATTTGTCTTCTGACATTGAGTTAACATTGCAATTTGACCCACCTTGTTGGTTTTGCAGATCCCTGAGGTATTTAACCGCATGTTGCAGTCACATACCATGCAATTTACAAGCATTACCGAAGCGTCAAGCAAGGATGTAAGTTACATGAAAATGTAATTCTCAATCATTTCTGTCACTCTGATTTTCACATAGTAGTGTTGAACAGGGGCTCACACTTATATGGTCAAAAAGGGGAGGAGATGTGTTTGCCCAAAGCCACTCCAAGTGGCTTCAGACGGTGGCCATCAACCCAGAGGCCACACTTTTCAAACTTGTGCCTATTACTTCTTTACTTACTGGAATTCCAGGAAGTGGCTATCTTAGTCATGCGATAAATTTGTATCTACGATGTAAGTGTCTGTGGTTTGATTTACTTCTTGGTTTTTGGTGATAAATTTGACTGTTTCTTGAAGTTTCAAACTGGAAATTTCACATTCCAGACAAGCCTGCTTTGGACGATCTACAATACTTCTTGGAATTTCAAGTTCCCAGGCAGTGGTCACCTCTTTACTGTGAGCTTCCTTTGAGACATCAGATACGAAAAGCTTCTTGCCCAAAATTGCAGTTTAGTTTCTTAGGTCCGAAGCTTCATGTTAGCTCCAGTCAGGTACCAGCTCTCTCTCTCTCTCTCTCTCATAGTTAAGAGTAGCCACAATAGGAAAGAGCAAAATGAATCTTATTTCATGTTACAAGAGGATTTTTTCAGTAGCTAGTAGCTAATGATGTATAAGAACTTGTTTTCTTGTTAGTGCATAACGTGGCAAGTAGGTCAGAACCATCATCTAATGTCCAAAGGTCTCTGTCTGGTGTACTTGTTAACTAAAATTGAAGTCGTCTGATTTTTATGATTTAAATCTCAATTTAGGGTTTAATTTTTGGATTTTTTTTGCGCTGTGCTATTGCAACCCATGTCAATTAGAAGGATATGATCAAACTAAATATACTTGCAATGGGAGAAAAGAAGTTGGTAGAAGAAATGGATTGTCAACCCATCTCAGGATGAGTCAGTGGAGAAGTTGTCTTTGACATATTTAAATCTCTAGGGAGTGGGGGAATAATACATTACTATAAACTTACTAATAAGAGTTTTACTTATGGCCCTGATCCTGCTAGTACTCTCTTGATTGGCTATACATCCAAAACACCCCAGCAACCCTTTTGTTCTAGGTCCAAAAGAAAATGAAAAAAAAATTGAGAATAAAATCATTGTCACTTGAAGAGATGGCAGATACACAGTTAAAGCATTACAGGTCTTAAAGTGCTAGACTCTGTAATCAGGGTCGATGTCAACATGAGGTTGGATTACTTAGCATGAGAGGGCCTGAGACTCATAACTAAAAAGCCATCAAACCTACTCCTGAGGGAGATACAGATTGTATAATGTTGAATTTGGACAAAGTACACAGGCTATCTTCATAAAGAAGGTTTATGTCAATTTTTTTGTTTGAATTCTGGTAGCTCGCGGTTCTTTACTGTCCAGAACTTCAAGTTTGTGGTTTGAAGTTTGATATGTTTGGTCGATTTTTTACTGTGATGGGCCAAGGACTTGTTTGAACATTCATTTCATGTTGCCTGTTGGATTACTGACACAGTATACATTAGTACTGGAAGGGAGGCCTTTATGACCAACTAAAGCATGAGTATCACTAGGTCACTTCTATGTTGTAGAAAAGTGTTACAAATATTGATGATCATGGATAAAGTGCAAAGGTGATGCCCATGCCCTATACGAGTGAGGTTCTTTATCGATTATAAGCCTTCACACTTTCCCCACAAACGGAGGTGCTACACTGCTAATGTCTAGAAGTTTAGCTTAAGCTTTTCTTAGCTATTAGCTTATTTTGAGGTGCAGTGTTTGTTGATCTGATTATTGTTTGCATTTCAGAGAAATTTGAGGACATACATGCTTGACAATGGGGATCAAAGAAGAAGTGAACTCTAGGAATTTATTGGTCCACGGTTTAAAAGTTTAATGCCCAGATAATATTTTGTCTGTGACGTTTAGCAGACTGTTAAAACCCTTATTTAGAATAAATGAGGTTGGAGGAGTATTTTACCTTTAGAGAGACAACTAAATAGTCTCAAGAATTTGCAGTTAGCTGCACAGTATTTGTCATTTTCTTAACAAGAACTCAGGTCTTACCAGTTTCCAGCTTTTCTTGTGGGTCACAAAGAACATGTAAGGACGTCACCAGAATTTATCTAATTAAGTGAAGCTTTGCTGTCATTTGAATCAGTTATGTCTTGCTATTTTGATTACATGTATACAACATTTAGCCGTCTTATTGTGCTAAGCATACCTCTTTGGACTTCGTAAAGTGAAGTCACTGATGTTTTGCTCCTTTGGATCTCCAGGTTTCCAGCAGTAAAAAACCAGTTATTGGCTTGCGGCTTTAT